CATCGTAGAATTTATTACCGTGAAAGAAATTTTGATGGCGCGCAGAAGTGTGAATTTATCAATACGGCGGCGGCAAGTTTTAAAGCGTTGCATTAGATTTTACGTCAAAATAACAATGGCGACGGTGTCTCAATAAGTATAAGATAACAGTCGAGAGCTCGAAGCTCCGAGGAGAAGGCTGTCAGCCATTATTTATGTACCGCAGTTATGGACCCGGGAAATGTCTAGGAATATGACGCGTCAATATCTAATGGATGTACTATCTATCGGTCATAAAATGCACAGGGAGTCCCATGAGATGGAAGTATGAACAATATTTATAAACACTTGCTCTAGAAAATTTCGCTCGCAATATCTTCCCGCCTCTATGAAATTATTACTCTCGATGGATATCATAACTGAATATTAAAGCAATTAACGCAAATATCTCTTGAGAAAACCGCGTCTTTCCTTGACAAGTATACCAATACAAACATTAACATAAATACGTTAAGCCCCCATAGCATATCGTTAATATATTAAAGGCGTTTCAATTTAGTTTATCTATGTCATCGAATTTAATCACCCATGCAGATAATGGGAATACAAGTCGACAATATTCGATTCTAAATTTGAGCGTTTGCTGCAGTAGTGAGCCACGAATTAATTAATTGTACTGCGGTCGATTCAATGCAGAATTTACGTCAAGCGCTCTATTGATTTAATGATGGTACAATATGTTAACTAATAACAAATTGCAGCTGTATGTTAACTACTTCGACTATGAAAAGTTTTGAAATGATTTATGAGAATAAGGGGACTGTGTACCATAGGCTGTTTGTTATTTGTTATAGTTGGTCTTTTTTGAAGATGGAGTAAAATGACATTTGCACAGTCGCCAGTTTTCGTCAAATTTTAAATAGTCATGTAGTGTTTCATCGATATATTGTGAAAGTAAGTAAAATTTTGCCAAAAATATCTGAATTGTGAATGTCACGACGTTCTAATGATTATTAACTGAGTTATTGTATTATTTATTCCTATTTTGATATTATTATCAAAATATATGTTTGGTCATACAGGCGAATTTGATTAGACATATTAAATTAAAATGGAAGTTTTTAAATATGTTTTTTTTTTATATAAGGAACAATGACGACGGATGACGGGACAACAAGTCACCACACAGTCACAGTCAGTGCACATGGTGGTAAGCTACACGCCTGTTCATAACAGGTACAGTGAAACTCAGAGCTTTAAATCGTAAAGATATGGGGCGCACTGCCACTGCGCCCGTCACCCTGAGACGTAAGATAACAAGTCCCATGTTCCTGTAATTTCCACCAGCACTCTTGCCCTTCAAAACCGGAACAAAGTAATGCTGACATTACTGCTTGGCGGCAGAAATAGGTAAGGAGGTACTTCCCTGGACGAATTTTTTTACAAGGATCTCTACTGCTACTAAAAATACGTCTTGTGTTTGTATTTTTAATAGACATCCTTCTAAATTTAGTATACGTATGAATAATTTTTCAAAAATTATTTTGAAAACTCATCCACACATATTATATATTTATCGACTGCAATCTATCACTAGCTGCCTGCAAGTGGGCAACAGCACAATGAACTGTCATTTTAGTCCGTCTTCAAAAAAGACCGACTATAACAAATAACAAACTGCGTATAGTAGGTATATAGTCTATATAAAGCATTTCAAAACTGAAAATGCGAGCATACTTTCTGGAACCCACACTGCGCCAACTAAAATCAACTTCATTATTCTAATTCAAACGATTCACATTTATAATTTAATCGTTAAATTTTCATATGAAAGTATTTTATTGCCATCCATAAATTCGTAGCGTGTACTATAATTCCTAAGCTTAGAGTGTGCTCGTATAAAAAATTACTACGTACAATTGCGTGTCTATCATCATTTTTAGATGGTATATTTACTTAGTCCATTACCGTATTACCATTCATTACCTGCTCAGTGGATCAAATTGATAGTTGTGAAGCTTGGCAATTTTTTATTTTCACTAACTTGGCGATTTGGAAGAATCCAGAATGTTCTATAATATTTTCAACGTTATTTCTTCGCACGACCTAAAAACATAGGGCCGACCATTCGCTATTATGTACTCTTCGCTGTGGTACGCTCTGTACTCTAATTGTTATTGCGAATAATTGCGACTAAACAGGTCACACCGAAGTGATTTTTAACTTGACAAGGGTTAGGCCATCATTTCGCGCAATTTGCGAAAATAAAATATAGATCGATCGCATCAGACGTCGGGTTCACAACGATATTCCATTACCGGGGGTGGACGCGGAATATCAAATGAGAGTGACCCTCGCGTCCTATCTCACCCAAGCTGGTCACACGAGATAATTGGATGACATTATTATCAATTACTTTCTAGAAAATGTGGCACTCCGTGTAACAGCTCATCGATTGAAAGGTCAATAAATGTTTTAGCCATATTGAAAAATAAATATGTAAGAGGGAAAATCTCTGAAAGGAAAACTCATGGACGTACGTTTACGTACTTCTTACGGTGCTCAAACTCGGTAGTCTTTAACGAATAGTCAGAAGTTCGGACTCGGAGAGTGTCAGAGAGGCATTGAGCGCAATATCGTGGAAGTAAAACACTCAGACCGCATGCGAAACAGCATACTGCACTCCAAAATGCACATCGTTGGCGTTGGGCAAAAAGCTACTAACCTGAAATGAAACTGTCTTTCGCATGTCAAGCGAGCTATGGGCAAAAACCACCACAGAGTGGATCCCACCAAACTTGGAGACGTGGAAGACTCAGGAGATGGCGTGACGAGCTAAAAGTTCATATAAGATCAGGAGGAAGGGAAGGGAGCCCTTTACCTAGCAGTGGGATAGTAACGGCTGAAAACAAAAATTAAAATTTAAAAAAACCTCATTGCCGCGAATAATTCTACCACATGACTAGCAGGCAAGAGTGTAAGTGAATTCAAATTATCTATCAAAATATATTAACTATAATTAATAAATTTGAATAGTGCCTATAAACGACATTGAACGACGAAAGTTTTAAATAAATTTTGAAAATATTTATTTTCCCATAGTAATAATTTTGCTTTTCAATAACATAATATACCAAACCACTTCAGTCAAAATGGTATGCCTGAATGCGAAATATAAAAACGCTGACTAGAAAGTCAATAATGTAGCGTATTTCTTCGACAAAGGTCACAGCAATTGTTCCCTACGAGTAATTTGAATAATTAACAGTGAACGAATGTAATTAAATAGGCAGTGCAATTATTGTGAAGCACAGGTAATGCTCTGGTTAGTTAGCGGCAAACGAATGGCGCTGGTCGTACACATGTCTCAATGACGATAAGCCGCAAAACGGGAAGCACTCCGCAAACAAACTTTCGAAAGGAGAATCTAATGTTGGAAACATATTTGCCCGAAGGTATATTATCTAATCACACCATTAGCCATAAATAAAACCCAAAACCAAATATCAACGCGAAAATAGGTCCAAAACATTGTTGCTGTTTTTTGTTGGGAGACCATTCAAACCGCATCCCTCCGTTACGGTTCATTGATCAAAAGGGCGCATCGGTTTTGGTTATTTCTATCCTGTTTACACCTGTTAAGGGTTTATATAGTCGTCTCGTTTTGCCAATGTCTCCGCGTCTTAACGATTCAATTCGGTGGAAATAACCGCAGACAAGAGTCGGTAGGTCGGCGAATAAATCTGACCGCATGCGCTCGACCCATTGAACACTATCACGGCCGCCGAACCGAGGGGCAATAACGTTTCCACTAACATCACTTATAACCTTTTCACGCCTATATGACCATCAATACGCTTATATATTGATGATATCAATTTCACCAGGTATTTCGTTGCTGACAGTGTCGTAATCGTAACCTCATAGCATTACCCTGCCATTCGAAACAAAACTATGTCCATTTCAAAGTCAAGCGTTCTGAATAAAAAATCTGCTGTATATTAAAATACTAAAAGCTACAGTACTGACCAGAGTTAATGAAAATTAAGTTCTCGGCAACAATGTGGAAGTAAATTGCTTTCGCAGACCATAAATATGTCCGGTTCCAACAATTCAACTTCTCTTTGCAAATACTCTAATTCCAAACTTAATGGCTAGTACTTTATCAGCATCGGTATCTTAGCATTTATCCGGACGTAGTCGATGATGCTAATCCCGGACATTCCCGGACTTTCCTGGATCAGGAGACGCAGGTGGGCTCGGATCCAACGGCTCGGAACCGATCATTTTGCTCTACACTTTATAGTTGGCTCGATCTCCCCCAAGGCTGCTACGGGGGTTTAAAGGTTAAGTTAGCACTCTAGCTGTACTCGCTGCTAAATTATAGACGACTTATACATATTTACCTAAGTTACATAGCTTCGTTAATATTTATATATACGGAGGAGCTTCATTTGTGTGCACATTAAGTTTTTATCGATCAGGATATTAATAATACATTTATTCAGAACGCAGCGACAAAAACCATCGGCAACACAACAGACGCATGGATACGCCGTCCATTTAGTTCAGATTAGCTGTCGTGGTGTTCGTCCGCGTCACGCCGCCATCCGTAGTTTGAGTGACTAACAATTTAACATTGCATTAAGTGCAAACACTGAATTGCAACTATAAATAGGTTATGCTCACAGCAAACTACCTGGCAGACAGTTTTTAAATAAAACTCCACTCCCTGGCGAATCGCGTGAGCCATTAAACGTTGTCGGATCGATCGTTGCACTGACCGTTATTATAACGAACACTTTACGACCCACAATTCGGATCGCATTGCAACTGCTCTTTAAAAACGTTTAATGGTCACAATTTCCTTTTTTTACACCGCATTATTGTCGGTATTTGCCGAGAACTATTTTACTTTTACGGTCAACTTGGATCATATTTAAAAAAATTGCTTCATTTACAACCATAATAAATACTTCAATGTTGATGCTCGTGCATATACTTAAATTTACACTACAAACAAATAGTAACTATTACAAAAGTATGTATACTTCGAAAATTGTAACAATCAATAATATAATTTTATGAATAATGCCGCAACAAATGTCCTGTGAGGGCTTTGTTCGCTCGAAACCAAGAGAAGCAGCGTCGGCGGCGTCCGGCGTAGTGGCGGCGAGGCGTTACCGCTACTGCCACTGGTGCGGGAGATTGATAAATGCGCGGAAGCACTCGCCGCCTAATGAATGGGGTGTGGCACGCACGCCGCATGCCATTGCAGTATCTGCAATCCTTGCTAACTGCACTGCCATGCCATAACACATATATTTACAGCTTAAACGCCGTTCTATCGCGAACCGCAACATTCGCTCTAAGAATTCATAACGCGGGCTAATAATGTTTCTATATGATATATATTTTATTGTATAGCATGCTGAAAGTATTTCAGGAAAGGATCTGTGGTTCGTGGAACAGGAATTTCTTCTTGAACGCTTCTCTGGGGTTCAGGAAAGGAGCAGGGATCTGTTAAACAAAACAATTATTTTAATAGGAATATATGAAGATATATAGAAGGAAAAGGGAAATTATATGAAGATATATAGAAGGAAAAAGGGATTGCGCTCTTCAGTCGCGGGCGCAATCGCGCACTCAAACACGCGACAGTTTCACGCGGATATGTAGAGTGAGAGAGAGAGAAAATTAGGTTTTAAATGGTTGGAAATAAATAATAAAGTATGAGCAATCAGCGAGGAAACACTGCATCCCTTGATACCGCGGGCATTTAAACGGAAAGCAATTTAGCGCGGAGAACACTTGTACAGCGCCCCATTCCGTTCGACCGGACAACGGGGCGATTCATTTCCCTGATGGCCACCCATTACACCGGTCAAGATGGATGGATAACCAACCGGCAATTACACTATAAACACAATGACAATCGAATGTTTTCACTAATTGAAAAAGCCGCACGTAGATCGATTCATTTGAGAGCACTATATGAAATGAAAGTCACATGGCGACGGTGGCGTGCGGTGACGTGACCGTTGATGTATTAACTCCATTGACTTTACGAGCGGAGGTGACGTTTATTAATCTAGTGGGCCACTTCATGTATGCGTACGGTGAATAAATTAATCGAAATGTTTATGGCGGAGCGGAATTGTAACGAATCAACTTCAATTTTGATTAAGATCACTATCATGTGGCGTCACCAAAATAGCCTGCAACTTATCGAAAACTTCAAAGAAAATCGGGCTCACAAACAAAGATAAGCAACTCAAACGAGGAAAAGTTAAATGATAATGAAAGAATTAGCGAGCTCGCGTCACTTGGCAAAGAATCCTAATCATAATAACTCAAGATGATATCGCGGGTGGTAGCGATGAACAAAAGGCGCCGCCGCTACAATGGCGGCCGGCGGGCCGGGAGGCGCGCTAACAAATTACCAACCCGCAGATAACTAAGCAATATTAAATCATAGTAATTTGTGGTTGCAAGACGCAGCCCCTTTCCTAACGAGTTATCTTAGCTATATTATTATTCTTTACTTTCAGGAATTCGGCGATAATTCTCTTAAAAAAGGGGTTGCTACCAAAAAATAGGTTAACGTACATTCTCAACTGTGGTAAAATATTCCATTGAATTTGTTGTATTTTATCGCGGAGTATGTGTTCTTATAAAGACGTCGAAAACTAACACAACAGTTTCAGAGTTTCATTTCTGGTTAGAGCAAACTGATACAATTGTACGAAACAGCTGTGTAAATCATCTAAACTACAACATCCATACGGGGCCAGGCCACAGTCTGCAACTCAGCGTGAAACTGCAATTTCGCCGCTCATAAAACAAGGAACCAAGCACCGAGCGTGTTCTGTGCAATCGCATCTTTTCACTCGCTTTCTTGCGCGGCGCATTAGCAATTCTAACCATTGCTATAGTTGCTCGGAAATTGTAATATTAAGTCTTAATAAAGCCATTCGTAACGTTGAATATCCGGAACAGGCGTGAGCCGGAGCCGCCAAGCGCCGCGCGGAGACTCGCCTAAGGCGGTGCTGCTCGCTTGAATTTACGACAAAGCTTTATTCACCGAAACGTTAGAAGTACTAGCCTTTGCTGCAATTAGTAACTTACATGTATTCTCAACTCAAACTACTATTAATATGTGGTAAAAATCTTTTCTCAAAAAAACTCGGAAATGTTCGCATTACTTTCAAAAACCGAACACGAAAAGTTTGTCATTTATGGACCATGCGACTTCTACCCGGCCAAGGCCTGCAAAGTATGTATGAATATCTATTACTGTCCACTTCTCTAAACTTTTAAATAAAGTGAAATCAAATCTACTGATAATGACTATGTAAACAGGCAAAACTGATACAGCCAACTGCCAAGAGTTCGTAATTGCATCGTACTTTAATCGTATTTTTTTTAAAAGGCGATAAAAGAAACTAAAGTGCTTTGGTATTCTTTTCTGTAATTTTTTTTTGGCTCTTCTCTATGTTCGTCGCGAAAATAAGTTCTAGTGAGAAGAGCGATAACGAAAATGCCTACAACTACTATATGAAATAGGTATTACTTTTCATTTGAATTATTTTTTCTTTTTCTATTATAATCTTCTCTTTAGTCTTCTATTATTTCCTTACATTACTATCATCTCCATCACTATATAAGCCTCGGCAGGAACGAGGATTGCTTGACTTATATTAACACACTAACTCCTAGTCGTCCAGTCCCAGTCCAATCCCTTACTTCTATTTCGAATGAAAGTAATACAAAAAATCTAACTCAATAAATACCGCACGCCAACGAATGGAGGGGCTTTACAACTATTGTATTGTGGATCCGCAACAGTGAGTTTATTAATGAACCGATATCGAATAATATAACCGAAGCGCTTTCTATAAATTCACCGAATATCGCCCTGCGGACAATAGATAGCGGCTTTTCTCTGGCAGTAGGCTCTAGTGCCATATGCAATCTTTTTAACATATTTTAAGCGCGGAATACCGTGCCAAAATGTTTTAATTCGGCACTTACGTAACGGAGGCCTGAAAGTACCGCGCCTAGTGAAATTGTGCGAAAAATGAAACGCGCAGTCCGCATGGAGCATTAAATTAAGCTACCCTGCAGAATGCCTTTTAAGTGACATGGATTTAAAAAAAACTGCTACGGTGCTCTCCAGTTTATTGGAGTATGCGTTGTTGGCTTTAACCAACGAAAACACTGCGTAATGGACTGGGTGAGCTTGGAAAAATGGATGGAATATAAATATGAATCACGGGATCACACTCTGCTTATAATTAAAAGTGTTTAAATTGAATTAGGAACATAGCAAACCAGAGTTTATGTCACTGGTATAGCGTCTGAAAATTTAATAAGAGAGAACGGATGCGTGGTGCAATCCGTTATTAAAGTTTTTCTTTACCTTAGGTTCCAATTAACTATTCATATGTATCACTTAGCAGCTATAAGGTTACCTATGGTAGCGTTTCTTAATTCCAAACATATTCATTCTGTGCAAGGATTTCAGTTTTTTTAATTCCTTCATACCCTATTTTATATATTTTCTCGATATTAAAGTAAGGTAAAGATACCTTATATTAATATCGACATTTATTTTTTCAAATGATCCTAGCAGAGCCATCTACCGAAGGGTGATAGTAACGTGTAATACATTTCTTAACCAATTTCAAACGTTCAGTCACGTGCAGCGCCCTCTGGCAGTTATATGACACATTACAACGCCTTGTGACAGCGCCATCTAGCGCAATAATCGCTAATCACGTCGTTACGGAATCATAACTTCAACAAACCTCTATCCCACAGGACCATGTTATAGTCGTAACACAGTAAATCGTTAGATGGCGTTGACGTCTATCCGTGTTATATCGTGCACTTCTTGATTTGTAAGGTTTTACTTACGGATATAGTTTCGGCCGCCATCCTGTGGTGTCCGAAACTGGAAATAAATGTCTGAAATAAAAGAAAATTTCATTATAAACCAGGAAATGTAACACAAAATAAAACTACTGTTCTTAAAATTACAAATGAAATCAGATATTTTTGGTTCCTTCCGACCGAATCAGCTGTATAGTAGCAGGTATCTAACAAAATCACTTGAGAATCTTGTCAAATACATTCAATTAGCTTAAATAGAATTTAATATGTATTTTAATAGATTAACTGTCTAATAAGCTACTTCACTAGCGTTTACATTTTAAAAGGGCGTTGTTAATTAAACGCGTTACAATACATCACATTGTTCATCCATTAATTATAATGAGATGCTAAAGATGTAAAGACGCAACTTAAAGAACCCTTCTTACATTTCTCCCTTTTAGATATAATTGATACACAGATGACAAACGACACAATGAATGCGATATGCGAGGCAGATGGATTCAATACATAAACAGATTTCCCCCATTCGGTACTTCGTCGATAAGACAGCAACACATTACTGTCTGGGAGACGACAATAACCCATATCCTGTAAACCCACATAAATATGTACGATCGCCGAGTCATCGACCTAAGGCGCAATAAATTAGGCTAGACTGAAATCAGAGAAGTTCACTTTGACTAACATTAAGCCCCGTTTCTTAGATATAAAAGCTTGATTCTTTCACGTCACGTAGTGAATATTTTTATTGCTCTAACGAGGCGGTTATTACATTTTGTTTATGGGTGATAAAATTCTAATATTAAAGGCTATTTTCGACCTAGAATGTTTCGCGCACAGTAAAAACACTTCTAATGTTAATAAATCAGTACAAAATGTACCGTGATCAATCAATTGTAGAATATGTGGTCCAATTCCATGTCCAATTCTATTACGGTTACGTCGACATATTTATGTTTTGAGATTGTTTTTGCCATCTGTCACCCAATACTAATATAAAAAGGTCAAGACCTAGTGTCGGTAATATTTTGGATACAATTTCCATGTGTATTTTTTTTTTGTAGCAGTAGAGCCCTTGTATAAGAGTTTGTCCAGGAAAGTACTGCCACACTACCTATTTCTATCGTCAAGCAGTAATGTGAGCATCACTATGTTCCGATTTTGAAGACTAAAGGTGCTTGTGAAATTACAGGCACATGGGACTTGTCAACTTATTGTCTTAGGGTGACAGACGACGCTTCACCGCAATTATGACGACCTCCGTGGTCGAGTAGCTTGCACTTGCACCGGTTTTCATGGTGCCGCCCTCTGACTCTGATTTCGATTCTCTGCGGGGTCAATATAGAAAAACTAACTTTTCTATATTGTTTCGGGGCTGGGTGTTTGCAGTACCGTCGTTGTTTCCGATTTTAATAAAACAAATATTTAAGTTACTTACTTTGGGATCAGAGCAACGTATGTGATGTTATCTAATATTTAACTGTTATGGACAAACGTGTCGCCTGACACCAGACACACGACTTGGTGGTCCCGTTATTTATACGTTTTATTCGCAATGAGGTTGTATGTACCTAGAAAGTACCTCACAGGTTAATTTGTAAGGTGACCCCCACAGCATTGGCCTTGGATGCCCTAAGAATTAAATAATGTGCCACTTTCCCTTCTCTGCGTTAACAAAAGCCCGCCCCTGCCTACAGTAATGATACGAGGGAGGGAAGCGAGCCCCTTAAATTTATTTGCAGGTATATAAGTAATTATTATTGTCCTTAAGATGGACTAGAAACGAAAAGTAAAGTACAAACTGTCACTTCCAAATTTAAACCTTTTGTAAACGACGAAAGGTTTAATTACTTCTGAGAATAAAGTTTCTACCTTTTTCGAGATTTTACTGAAGAGCAACTCTCGAGGTTGGGCGGTCCACGTACACCGGGCTTATATTAAATATCGTAATATAGGTAAAAATATAGTCGTATATAAACTTTAAAATAAGGTTAATATTTATGTTCTATTATTGAATATTGTTTCTGGATACAAGATTCTTTATAACCGACTTGAAAAAAGGAGGAAGTTCTCAATTCGACTGTATATTTTTTATTACTCCGGCATTTGTAAATCGACTTTGATGATTCGTTTTGGTTGGCAAGAAGGTACCTCTGTATTGGTCCCATTAAATTTGAAGAAAATATTCCACTTCTAAGGGTGGCAAACTAGGGGATGAATCCGGTTTCGCGTACTTTCCGGTAACCGATTTCAATAAAACTTGGCAAACAAATGTAGTAATTCCACAAATTTAATAAAAAGGTTATTATAAGAATAACAGAAATAAAAATTCCTTGACAGGATTCAAATCTGTGTCTGTTTTGCTAATCTAGGGCAATCGCTCTACCAACTGGACTCGATCTTGTAGCTCAGTTGCTAGAGCGGTTGCACTGTCAGATCGAATCGTTTTTCTTTGTGTTCGATCTTTGTATTAAAAATTACAACAAACTAGTAATTTCACAGAAAGAAAAACAATTTCATGGTAGTAAAACATCATAATTCATTACAATCATTATTAAAAGGCTCTCTTCTTACGCTACCCCAATGCTCTCTTATCAGGACAATGGATTTGGCGCCCCTTAAAACGTGATGTCTTAAACAGTTGCTTATTTTGCTTACAGGTTTATCTGACTTTGACCGCCAGCCGTCTCACTATTTTACAGATCATTTGTAGAGTCATATGACTATGGACAAAACAAAACAATTCGAAATAACAGAAACGAGAGAGACGGAATTCGCGGAATTTTTATTATAGCTAGCAATTTCAGTCCAAATAAATTTGTTAAAAATCTTACTATAATCTAAGTTAACGTATGACATAACTATAAGAAGTAGTTAGTTCCGCGATGTTATTGACAAACGCAGTGTAGACAAAAATCTAATGAAATAAACCGAGAATTAGTAGAGAGATCAAAGCCCAGTACAAGTTACACATGACATGACATGATGGATGACAAAAATCAATGATAGTGACCCGTTTAGCTCTTGCCAGTTGTTTCGATTGATAAATGTGTACAAATGTTTATTTACAAAGAGCAACCCCTAGAGTTTCTTATTCATTCTTCTCAGTGGAAACTGCCCTAAGAATGCGTAGTAGACTTTAAACAATGTGACGATTGAAATAACGGTTAAGTCCCGGCGCCTACTGAAGGGATGGCTCGGCAGAGGTTCCTTCGGCATCCCTACATGCAAGCGCACACTAACAGCAATTATTCCGCAGTGCGCTTAAGCATCCGCAGTATCCCTAAGTACTACTCGGCGACCTTAAGGCTGCCTTTCCACCAGAGATGTGCGAGGTAGTGAGGCGGTGCGTGGATGTGTAGCGGCGCTGTGAAACGGTGTGATGTTTTCCACCAAAGCTGTGCTAGAATGCGTTACGAACTCTTTTCAGCTATGCGCGGGCGGGGTACGGTGTGGTGGGGTGATCGGTGACGATGTGTCGGTGTCAGTTAATGTCGTCGAGTATATAACCAGAAATAGAGACGAAATAAGGGCCATATAATCCTGGTAACACATTAGCGATACAGCTCTTATAAATATCAACACCCGTTTGCACTGAAATATAGACAGGCCAACTACTGACCTGTGTGTACGTCTCCGTATATTCCAAAAAATATTCTGTGTTTATTGTAATAAAGATAATAAATATCTCTAACAATGCCGTGCTGTGCTATTCGGTGGTGTGGGAAAAACAGCAAAACATCTAATTACAAAACAAACGGAATCACATTTCATCGGAAATTAAATATTAAATATGTAATTTTGTAATTTTCGTCCATTATAACAAAGCTCAAGTTAACTGGTCAATTTCAAGTGAAACAGTTGACGACACCCGTCAATTGTTTCGAATTCGGGCTAGCCAATCGGAGCGCAGTTGTCACAGTAATGATATGGCAGAATAGTTTTCAAACAAATTAAATGACATTTCGTCTCTATTTCTGGTTATATACTCGATGGTTAATGTCATACTTTCAGTAGCTCTAGTTTCCTACACCGTTTTGCACACATTCCTCGCCCGCAATGCCCTCGCACACATTCTTCGCATACATCGCTCGCACACATTTCTCGATATTTTGTATGTACAAATACCTAAGTATCCGGGGTATAGCTAACGCTTTTCCACCGGAGCTGTACTAAACGGGGCTAGGAAAATAAAGTAATCCTACTGGTAGATATTTTCCTCGCACACTGCTTCGCTACGTCGCACATCTCTGGTGGAAAGGCAGCCTAAGCATGCCGAAGCATCCTTAAGCATGCTCTGCCTCGACTCACCCCGCATACCCGTAAAATCGCACTAGGAGTCCCGAAGCCTGCCGAAGCATCCTCAAGCTCCAAGCTACAGCTACTTGTTCCTTGAACAGCAGCTACGATCATTATCATTGAAATTGCAACTATAGGTATATTAATATTCGTTACTTAAAAATCCCTTGCCGTCCCGTCCCGTTCCATCAGTGGGCGCCGAGTCTTAAGTTTGAGTTTGCAATAAGAGCGAAAAAGTCGTCCGCGCATTCGCTTCGCTCAGCCCGTCGACGTGAACACACATTTCCTGTTTCTCTCATATTACATGAACATAAAGGTTTTTCTGATCGACTAAATGCGATTCCGTGTCGCCAATTTGTGTGATTCCGTAATTTAGCATTATCGATACTGCGGTTAAGTCGGGTACAACGCGTTCATAATTGATCTTTACGATCCTTGCCCAGAGTGATACAACTATATAAAGATAGCTAAGTGCAAAGTCGGCCAGGGCAACGCTGATTCTGCAGAGCCAACAGACTTTGTCCTTAACATATACCTACCTACACACGTACAGGTTTTGTTTTTGATTTTAGTAAACCCCTTACAGGTAGCGAGCTGTTAAAACAGAAGAGATTAGAGACCTTGTTCAATCAACATGCAAATTAAAGAGCAACAGTAATGCCTACCACACTAGGAAAACTACGACATTATATGAAATAGATACATCGGAGTAGAAGTGTATATAATATACACAAGTATTAATTGACATTAGTATTAATTGACTAATACTTGTG